GAATTATTCAGTTTTTACTTTCTCTACATTTGAAAACTTAATATAACGCCACTCAACCTCATTCACTAGCTTTTATTTAATTTTCTTCTAAATAATAGCACTTTAGTATTCAAATATTAAATGAATTTTGTATACAGAACATTTAGTACTTTATACATTTCAAGAATGTAGTATACGTCTTATAGAGAGTACGAACATCGAGATTGACATAGAAGAATACTTAGCTTATGAAGAAAGAAACACAACAATTATACACGGGGTATAAGGGACTAGTTTACATGTGGGTAAACACTAAGACCGGGTCCACATGTGCTTCATTTTTGTGTAGGTGATGCGCTACATAGATACGGAAACTCCAAAATGATACAAGTGTGCACCCGATATTAAATATACAGACGAAAATACTTGTATAATATAAAGCCACATCAAGCTTGACCCTATGGACTTTGGACGTTCCAATCGCAAGCGACATAAAGTTGAATTTAAATCTCAAGTATCAAGCTTGACCTGCTCGTGACTACGTACAAGTATAATAAAACTCGTCCAAGATAAATATGCACAGGATTTGTTCTCTAATTACGCACGTTAAGAAAAATCTTTTGGTGAAGGTAGTTTTATTTTAGATTTTAGATTAGCCGATTAGACATCTATAAATGCATTTTAATGCCTAAGAGCTTCACACCCTGTTTTATCCATAACGCGTACATATACAGATAGCATAATTACAGTAAATTTTATATATGAAAACTGAGAATCCTAAACAAATTTCAAAATCGTAAGTGCTTGGTCAAAAGAAGCCAAAGAGTTTTAAAAAGGCTGTACAGGGATTGAGTTAAGTTAACCATTTCGATAGTTTCGAAAGACTGTGTGGATTAAAATCAATCATTTGAAAGCGTTTTGAAAAGGCCATGTGGGGTTTAAGTGAACCATTTCAAGAATTTCAAAAAGGCTATGTGGATTAAAATCAACCATTTGAAAAGGCTGTACGGAGATTTAAGTCAACCACTTCGAGAGTTTCAAAAAGGTTATGTGATTAAAATCAATCATTTAAAAGTGTTTTGAAAAGGCTGAATAGGGATTTCACTCAACCATTTCGCGAGTTTCGAAAAGGCTATGTGGATTTAAAATCAATCATTTGAAAGCGTTTCGAAAAGGCTTTGTGGAATTAAAGTCAACGGTTAAAGCATATCGAAAAGGCTGCATGGATTAAAATTAGCACGCACTGGTTTCTTATGACCGAAACTAGAGAGACCAGAACGAAGCTTAGCCAAGTCCTTCGCAACAAACCACATAATTAGCCAAACAAAAGTACTTGTACTCACGCTGTATTTCAGAAGGAAGAGGATCCGAGTTTGTTTTCGGAAAAGAGCAACTTAAAAACGCCTCATTCTTGTAACAAATGTGGCCTTAAAAGTACCATGAAGTACCGGTAGACGAAAACGTCAAGTTCGATTCCCGGTACGACCAATTTAAGAAACGTTTTTATATTTGGTACATGTAATATTTTCGTGGTCAGGTAATTGGTGTGATTTTGAGGCACTTTATAATTATTATTATTTTTGAAATGACTTTCCCCAACTGCTTTCAGTGTGGAAGCTGAACCGGTACAGTAGGACACTATGATTTAAATAACAGGTACAGTGAGGTAAATATAACAAAATAAAGAGAGAGGGCTAACCATATTTATAACAAAGAAACAAAATCTGACTAAAATAACTTTTTTTAAAGTATCTATATCAGAAAACCAAATAACCTATATATCACAAAAATCTTCACAAATCTCTCCGAAGTAACGGTGCAAAACACGTTGCTCTATTACATGGCAGAGGCAATTAAAATGAAAGCTTATTTCACTTTAAATATAGCACATTTTATGCTAAGTATTGTTTATATTTCATTAACTCTATGGTGCACATGGAATATGTCTATATTATATGTTTTCTATGTAATATAATTGTGGTATAATAGACACAAAATTTACATGGAAATTTACGATTTGTATTCTTAAGGAATTTTCTTTAGGATCAAATTAAAAAAGACATCTTCGAAGTAGACCGGGGGTTATTGAACTCATGCATACAAATATAATCATGTTGATAAATACTTTTTATCAACCTGTTTTTACACCATAATATAGGATGCTAGTAAAATATGTCTGAAATTTCATCAGATGACATTACCTATGGCAGAGAAGAAGCTTTTCTTTCATATTTATAAATTTCATATTAGTTTACGAAAAAAATCCTATTTTGTGATGAATCCAAATTGTGTGAAAAGCTTTCTTTATTTTGTATAGTCAAAAGCAAAATCAATCACGGGAAGAGTCACATCGTGAAATTTTAGCTATATTTTACCTAACATCCTATATATTACAGTAGATTATATTTGTCACAGTCACAGCATGTTATTTAGATAGAGTTGGATCTCTTATACTGTCTCTTATTATGTTTGTCTCTTTTTCATACTAAAAAACAGCCAAATAATGTGACAAAGAAAATTCGTCGACAAATACATCGATAAACCTCCATGACTAACTACTGATTTGGTGTTTGATCCTTCTAGCCGGCCTGGACGGACTATTATGTCCTCAGGAACTCCTAACCTAGACATATACAAACTTACTTATTTATAATATAAACATAATAATATAAATTATTCCCGAAAGCATTTAAGCTTCTTAGTGGAAAATTAAATTCCTTTTGCATCGATTTTGAGTATGTACAATTTCCTTAATTGTTAACATTGGTACTAGTTATTTACAGTTAATAGTTACTTAAAATACAATTGAATATTTAAATGTTGAACTGGTGTTATCCTTACGAGAGAATTAAAAAAAACCAAGGTCGAAACATTATTTCTATACATACAAAAATCCACACATTTTTAACAGCCTGTAAGTAATTTGTCAATCTACAAATAAAGGTACCTTATGCCTGGTGTTTGTTCTTCGTTGGTATCCAACTTATGAAGATTGACAGTTAGCTCCTCTAATTTCTTGTGAGGCGGTTTACAGTTTAGGGCTAGCTCTATAGGAAAATTAATTCTTGCACTTAATATTTTAAGGACGTATCGTAAATGTGCAAGTGATTAATGTACCTATACTCATGGACTGACTTTTCTTTCCGCTTGAGAATTATATTGTAAGCACAAACGTGAACACCGCGAAGATTGTAAGTTTACGGGTGAACACCGCACAGCTCAAAAGCATACATGTGAACACCGCACGTTCTTCTTTCTATAAGGTGTTTAAAGTACTTCGTGAAATTTAACCAGATTATACATACAAATATTCGAACTTATTCGATCAACGGTCATGAAATAACAACAACAATTTTCAAGAATAGTAGCTCAAATCAAAGAAGTTCTTTTTTTGAATTATTACACAGTTCTATTCAGAATGTGCAATATTTTATTGTGAAATCACCGAACTTTTTCTTGGTTAATATTGGATCGATATACGATTCATTGATTTTATATACGCCTCAGTTTCTTTATTAGGAAACTTTTTGAGAGAAGCCGGTATTCTAGAATTCCATCGAACTGTTGTGTTCTTGGATAGTTTCAAAAGAAACTTTGTAAACTTTTAACTCACTCTGTATAACAAAGGTCATCGTAAGTCTTATATAAAGTTGTTTCATAGCTTTGCTTCCTCTTAGCGTCGTTATTATTTCAATTTTTACAATGTTATCATATCTTTGTTGATTTTTCCACTAACTAAAATGTATAAAAATGGTATTTTTATAAATCATTATGAAGTGTAGTGTTCCTTAATTTTATTAATTAAATAATCGTAATATTATTTCTATAAACATTTATCGTATGACGAAAATCTAATTTGCTTATGTTTTTCCGTGGCCCTGATTTAATTACCTCTTAGTTGATTTTTCTGCTAACAAAAACTTTCAAAAATGGATTTTTTTAAACATATTAATTTCACTATTTCTTAATTTTAAGTCGCTACAATAATTGTAACATTATTTCTTTAAACATTTATCGTATGACGAGAATTTAATTACATTTTTCCGTGGCCCTGATTCATATAAATAAATTTTAAATCTAATTTACAAAAGTTTATTGATGTTGAACTTTTGAATTCTAAGAATTCTGTTACAACTTTTTTCTTTAATTACAACGACAGCGCGAATGTACTACAACAAATAAAACATAGACGTACTGGAAGTCTTTAATAATATGAAGTATTGTAGTAAAGCAAATGCATTGCTTTCGATTGGTGTGTTAATAGCTACGAGTGGATTCTACAACATAAACTACGTCCACACAAGTGCGTGTTCAACTTTCAATGCGTCTTGCGTCAAGCGTATGCAATATTGCTTGCCATAAGACGCATGCAGTCCTATGTACATAACAGTGCGCTTTATTCCAATGTTTAAACTTTATCTTTCGCCATTTTGTCTGGTAAAACACACGGACTATTGCACGTAAACACATCGGTGCTGAATCGTTGTGCGCTAGAGGCATGCCCTGTGGACAGAGGAAGACGCAAGACGAACATGAAAGCGCACTGGTGTGGACGTAGCAATATACTGCTAAAATATAACTTCGCCGTAATGATGCATAATATACAATACTAGTTCTGTATACCTATTCTATTTTTTGAATTATCTTAGAAAGAATACCGACTCAATGACATGATTCCAAAGTTCTACTTTTTTTACTATGGTCGAGTTATGAATTAGGTAATCATTCCGAAAAAATGATTTGAAACTCTGATTAGGTACTAATTTATAATAATTTTATAAATATCACTTTTAATTTAAAAATATACAGTCTGTTTCACGTTCTTCTAGCGATTTTTAGCACTACTTAATAAAAATCAATTTACTCTGAATAATTTTCTGTCTTTGTTAATTAAATACAAAAAAAAAAATTATAAATTGTCTTTGGTAGGCACTTTACTATTACTTAATTAAAGAGATTTGGAATAAGTTCATTCTATCAGCAATATCAAAAACCGAGTTTCTATATGTATGTCAGCGACCTAAATGTCTAGTTTTAGTTCTTTATGTAGGTACAGCTAGTATAGTAAAAAATTGAACTAAAAGCATATATTAATTTGAATTTTGTTGACAAATTTCTGTTAAACTACAAAAATCAGAGTAACTAGGTACTAGATAACGTTTCAAAAACACCGATTTAACTTGCTTGACAATATCAGTAATGTATGAATCGGATCAAGATTTTAACTCAATATTAAAACCTAGAATATCGAAACTAACCAATAATCACATTCTAAGTATAAGGATTTTGCGTCATAGTCGCGCAGTATATCTTAGCACGCATTTTATGTTCATTACTTTTGTTACAAGAATTAAATGTAAGTACTAAGTGCTTGCCGAAAGTCGTGAAGAGCTGCAAGAAGCTGAGGTGCTGTAGGTCTTGCTGGAGCCGCCGTCGACCAGCACCAGGACATCAGTCCGTACCTAGGGTTCGTAAAATTAACTTTTATAAAGTAATTTGCAATTGTAACACTTCTTTAAGAGTAGATACTACCTCACCTCGAATTCAAATTTTTCCCGTACTAAATCGGTTCTATTGCGCGGGTCGAGCGGCAGGGTCACTGTCTTTGATCCCACGGCGCCGACTCAACCGGCGAGAGGGAAACCCGGGGGGGTTTTAGTGGGGTAGGCCTTCCAGTGTGGAGGGAGAGTCCCCACATAACCCCTGAGTCTCCCTGGGCTCAGGGGTATCCATAAAGATTTCCCCCCCGTCAAAAAAAAAAAAAAAAAAAGGGTCACTGTCTTTATTTCAAAATGTATTTTTTTAATCCAACGAAATTACGTAAAGACATGTGAAAAATGTGTTATCGTATACTATACGTGTTGTATTTACTTCAGTTGGTATAAAACGATATTGGTAAAGTGCTTGTTGAATACAGAGGTTTTCTTGTAAAATTTCCAAGTAAGGTTGTGTTTTTTTGTGTCGGATAAATAATTTAGGAATTGTGTTTTCACACCGTATAGTAATCAGTGTATCTTCAATTCGTGTTTTTACGCCGTATATCAGTGTATATCCTAAATTTTACTTTATATATTTTTTTCCAAAGTAATTCATTCAACACTTTCATTGTAATGCGGAATCAACTAATAAGCCAAAGCCATTTGAGGTTGTATCGACCCTTAAACTGGGTGTTTTTTTTTCACAATATTTTAACGTGTGATTCTAACAATAAAGACGAACTACTTTTACTATTGGGATCAAGCTCGCTAAAACTTTAGTTTATAAATTATGACACTTATGCCTAAAATATCGTGTAATAAAAAATAACACCCGTGTGGCTTCTTCAGCAAATCCAATCGTTTGAAAAAAAATCTTAAAAGAGAAAATTCCAGTAACATATACCAGGTTGACGTAAAATGTATGCCCCCATAAATCTCATAGAGTAATAAAATAGCTATACTAGAGCTATGTATGTTGCAGCAGTGGACTAGAACAGATAGAGTTTATTATCGATTCATATTACGATTTTACTACTTTGCTATTTTCAATACCTTGATCAGATTTGACCAGAACCACAAATTGGCCATGCTGGACTCATGGACTCACACGTTTTCCAAGGGTTGTCAACCCTATTAATAATAATAATAATAATAATTCTTTATTGTACATTAAAAATTACAATACCTACAGAATACAGAACAGTAATAGAAGGCACAAAGCACAAACGACACAAGTTAACAGCGGACCCCGCACTAAGCTCAAGGCTTGCATCGCGGAACCCAAAATATATAATATATAATAGACAACTTATTTTCACTATTACATGAGCCAATTAGTGTAAACACTCATTGGTTACAGAATGAAATTTTTCTACACCATTAGCAAAAGATATCGCTACTAAATGTGCTCAAAATCTAATTTAGAAATAAAAGTCATATAGGCACATGTCTCCACAAGGATTCGAACAGTAGACCGCTAATTGAGAGACAACCGCTCTCCCTCTGGGCCACCACTGCTCGCACCAGATATACTTTACGTAATTAATGTAAGATAAGAATTAAGAATTTTCCCTACTTTCTTATCCTGGCGACTTCTCGTCATTATAACTTCGAAAACAGAAACTAACGCCATTGATGCTTGTACGAGTTCTGATACTTTCTACATTCTTTGTTTCGCTGAAGCTAGACGATGTCAGAGAACGTATAAAACGTGAAGCAGAAATTGTTGCAGTATTGTTAAATTTTGTATGATAGAACGTAAGAGCACGGAGAGTTTAATATTGAGATGGTTATTACGTATATACGCTGTTGTTTTTATTGAGATTTAAAGAAACAAAATAAGACTTTGCTTTTTGTACCTTTACAGCTACGAGCAGCTGACTGGAGACTTCGCTTCAATAATTGTAACTTTATTAAGTTTATTGAATATCACGATGTTTGACCGCCATGATATTTAATTATTTTTGTGAAATTACTACATTAGATCCAGTCCACTAGGTACAGTAAACCGTGCCAGACGCTGCGCCAACTAAGCTACGGAACGAACTAGCAGACATTACGAATTTTTCTATGTGCTTGTTGCTGATCTTTATTTCTGGTTTTTAACGACTTTTCTGCCGTAGCGCCATTCTGTGAGAAATCTAAAAATGTTTTTGATATCGGTTTTACTCATTAGGTAATGGACTTGCGATATCAGTTTAAAGGTTTTTGATACCTCTTATATTTACAGAATAATCGCCTGGGCACACTCAACGGTTACACTCAGTATATTAGGTAACATCGCAATCAGTGTAGTATAGTAATAATAACGCACACACTCAACATAGCCCCGCACTAGGGAAACCCTGTGTCGCAGGTGCCATGGACACACACACAGACAACCACAAATTACACCCAAACTCACGAGAGAAATAAATGTATCATCGGAATCGAACCTGGGACCTCTGCGTGGCAGTCCGGCATGGTAACCGTTCGGCCACGGAGGCAGTTTACGCGATCATAGTATACTCTAAGTGGTGAACGCACGAGGTAGTCTGCACGTACCAGTCTTGACACGGGTTGTAACCATAATAATAAATTGATATTATACAAAACAAAACTCTACAATTATGCCCTCACCGAATGCCATCATGTGGGCGTGGCTTCCAAATCATCCAAATACGTTATCGATTATATTCTAATACCTTTTTCAATACTTACAATTCATCGGGGCAGTTGTGCGGTTGTGTCGGTCTATATCCTCCGCTGAGGAAAGCTCCGACATCAGCTGCGTCCAATTCTGCTAACGGTGCAGCTCCAAGAGTGGCTAATTCCCATAATGTAACTCCTAGTGACCACTGTTTGAAAACATCAATGCAATTAGATGACTTACATTGAAGACATTTTGAATTTCAAAAATTTTGTCAGAAACCGCGTACAGGCTATAACATTAATAATTTTTATACTCTGTGTGCTTTTATTGAATTAAAAGCACTATCAATTGCTCGCTATAGTAAGTTTAGTTTCACCGTTGTGTCTTGAAGACAGTTTTTCTATATACAATAGCACTAACTCCTAGTCTTAAACACAGCGACGGAATTTATTTTGGGATACTATAAACAACATCAACGGCACCAATTTAGAAAAGGTTTTTTTCCAATTTGGTCCTATGGGGAACTGAAATCAAGACCTTTTCAGCGTCTATAGTGCAAACCATATGACCACAGAGATCGTCAATTTGCACATAGCGCCGATAAATTATCAAAAAATTTGTGCACTTATGTTTTTTTGTAGTAAAGCGGTCATTCTATGATGATGGCATTACACCATCAAAAAGCTTACCACGTCAGAAGCAGTGTTATATTGATTCTGAAGCAAACTTTCCGGAGCCATCCACTTTACGGGTCGGTTCTCGTTGTCTCCAAGGCAGTGATAATCATCAGGGAAAAGATCCCTTGATAGACCATTATCCGCCACTTTCAGTCTCAATTTCTCGTCCACACTGTATACCACATAAGAACCAAAGCGTCATTATTATTTGTATGTTCTGTTCTTCTGTTCTGTTGTGTAATTCATCGCCAGTCAATAGTAATAAGTTTACTTACACGCAATTCCTAGCAGCAACGTCAGCGTGTACAAATCTCTGTGCGTGCAAGTACGCTAGACCACACGCAACTTGGGCGCCAAGGTCCACTAGCTCCCTAGTTGCTGGCGCAGCTTGCTGGCCAAGTCTACATGAGGTCAGGAACCTAAGAGATATACAATTTATTTATTTATTTTTTCATAAAATTAAATATAAACTTAAAGATTTTATACGTAAGATTCGTTTTACGTTTAGTTTGCTCTCTACTAGTAACCTCAGAGATCAGACAATTTAGGAATATGAGAGTGCGCTGCGTGGGTATATTGTCAGCATCAACATCAGCGCAAACAAATCATATCAGCGTCGTAAGGTATGGACATACTTATTCGGCACAAATACATCTACATTGTTCAATATTCCGTAGTTATCCCGACTTATGGACCAAATTTTTAAGTCTTTGTTCTGAAGTATCAAGATCGATCATTCTGTACACAAATAAGGAAGGAACAGATAGTAACCGTATATTGTTTTACATAAGTACTGAGCGAACTTTCGTAGAGTTAAGAATGATAACGAAGGTTAAAAACACAGTTGTTACGTGGTTGTTACTAATAAAGAAATGAAACATAAAAAAACGTAACAAACAGTTTTAAATAAAGAAGGTAATATATGAAATGTAGCAACACAAACTTTTTATATGACTGTTTAAGATACGATTGTGAATTTAGAGTAAAGAGAAAAACATTGAACACACAGTCACATTACATCAAAATAAGATACATTAGTTACCTCTTTAGATTAGAAGAATGAGAAGCGCTGCAATATACAAGAAGCGGTCTTCTCGCCTCCTCAGCGCAGGCCGCCATTGGTGCCAGCACGTTGGTGTGACTCAGCCCTGTTAATCGAAGACCTTCGGCTACCAGCAACGCGGCTTGCATGGCTGATGCAGCTTCTTTGAGTTAAAGCGTTTTATTAATTAACTGATTTTCAAATCTAATTAAACAAATAAATGTGTTAAACAATTCGAAAATAGAAAAGCAGCCTTTGGAAATTGACAAAATATACGTGACAAAAGTAGTGTACGTGTCACCAGCTTAGACTAAGGTCACCAGCAATAAATACAGTGGGTTTTTTTTAATGGGACTTTATGGGGAAATCCGCAACCATAGAAGATACAAAGAAACTGTCTTAGGGACCATTTAGTCATTTTTTGTGAAAACAATTTTGGCATAGTCATTTTTTTGGTCAAGAGTGAGTTGTCTGTAAAAATTAATAAAATTGATCAAATTTTTTTTTAATACTGTTTGACTCAGTTTCATAACGGAAACATTTCATTGTATGGGATGAAAAAATTTGGACTGCAGAAGTTACTTAAATTTCACAAAATATTTTTTCATATAAAATAAATAAAATTGACTATGCCAAAATTGTTTTCACAAAAAAAGACATAATGGTTCCTAAGACAATTTCCTTGTATCTTCTGTGGTTTCGGATTTCCCCATACTGTACAATTTAAAAAAATACTCCGTATACCATGTAATTGGTACGAAATATGACAAAATGGTAGATTTCATGTGAAATGCGATATAGGTAAATAACATTAGTTTTATTTCGTGCGTTTTTTAACACTCGATGCAAAAAAAGGTTAAAACTTTGTGTCTGCTGTGGTATAGTAACTCTCAAATAGACGGATGGATCATAAAGCAATTTTCTGTTTTGATCGGGATGGTTCTTACCTAAGTTTGATGAAGCTATGTTAGTGCACGAATCTCAGTCATGAAATAAATATTTATCTTACTTCCAATAGTTCGATTGACTTCTAAAGAGTTGTTGCGTTAGTGGTACTACAATATTTGGAAAATGTAACCAGGCCATCAGTTGGTATTTTGTAAAGAGCTCTCAGATTTTAGAAATTCTGAATTTTAAACTTACTCTTTTACGCAAGTTAAAGTTTTCCAGAAAATCTTTAGGGATTTTTAATACTATGTAATGTAAGAATCCTACGGAACGTAGGTTTCAACTATTGTCAACTTAAAATTGAGGATCCGATATATCTAAAGCATGAAACACACAGAGAACGGGTGCGGGTCGGGCGCGTGTCGGGTCGGGAGCACGGCGGGTGTAATTCCGTGTATATACGAACGACAACAAACCAGGGGGTCTACTCTCGATCTCCGTCTGACATCCGTCTGAAACAATTACTGCCAAATAAGCAATACTTTACCAAATGAAAAGACGCGTGATGCTAATGAAGCTTCATACTTGACACTTGTCTTTTAATTTTGTCGAATATCACTTATTTAACAATAATTGTTTCGGACGCGGGACGGGCGCAGGTCGGGTCAATGTGTTTCACGTTCTACTTTGCTTCGTTAAGTGGTTCTTGCGCTTGGACCATTTTTTTATATTTATAGCTGCCATATTATTTCTGCACGGGTGTTTGTGATTGTGTAACAAGACTTATTTAATTTTTAACCGACTTTAAAAAAAGAGGAGGTTCTCAATTCGACAGTATGTTTTTTTTTATTTTGTTTGCATGTTACGCGATAACTCCGGCCAACCGGTTTGTGAACCGATTTTGATGATTATTTTTTATTATTGGAAAGAAGGTACCTCAGTAGTGGTCCCATTTAAATTTGAAGAAAGTATTCGACCTCTAATGGTGGCAAACTAGGGGATGAATGACTTTTGACGTCGGTTTATTAGTTACAAAATACTGAGATTATTCTTCCGGTATTTTAATGCAGTTCTTATGAAAATATGAAAACCGAATTACTCACCAGTAACAGTTTTGATAATGACTTCTTCGTAAACGCCACCTCTCTTGAACACTCCCTTGTAGACCCTGCCGAAGGTGCCTTCGTGGACTAAGATCTCCAGTCTTATATTCGACCGTGGTGTCGTCAGATGCCGAAGTTGCTCTGCTGGATCGGTGATTCGATCTTTTGGAACTGTTTGCTGGAATAGAATATTTTCGTTAAGCCTAGCCTGCATTGTGTTATTCTCCTTTGAAATTTGTGTCTGATAAAATTCCTCTGAAAAAAATCCCACGCAGGTGTAACACTGCAACACTACTTATTAATTTGCTTTTAAGTACCTTTTAATTAACAAATTTTACTTAGTAAAAATTCAAATTTTGCAAAACCTATGCAACGTAAGTTGGTATGTTCTTTAGTAAATTGAAAATAATAACGCACACGCACACACGGGTAACCCTGTGTCGCGGGTGGCATGAACACACATAGACAATCACAAATGACACCCAAACTCATGGGAGAAATAAATGTAGGCCATACAAATATTTCTCCCGGCCTGGGAATTGAACCCGGGACCTCTGCGTGGCAGACCAGCAAGGCAACCGTCGGCCACAGAGGCAGCAAAATAAGGTATTGAAATTAATAACTTTTATAACTATACTTCAGAATAGGGTGGTTTCCATTGCTAAGACAATAACTGTTTGATGACTTTATCGTATTAGTTAGCTCTGACAACGGGACCTGTAAATCTAAAACTTAAACTTTTATTTGAAAAAAAAAAAACAAATATACTCGAATTAGTTTCGAAAAAATAATTTCATTTCCAATGGTTAAGTTTTGGTTGTACGTTTATTTTGTTCATTTACTTAGAATTTTAAAAACTGAACTGTTTAGTAATTTTCTTGTACAATAATGATATTGTTAAAATCCGACGTCCGAAATGTAGTGTTACTATCATATTGAGTTTCATTTCGTTATTATCTGTTTAACAAATATTGATATCGATAGATATCAACGAAATATTTATGTTGCGTCACTAATTATGCCCTGTTCACGTCACGTAGTGGGTGGAGATTGTCAAAATAAAACGCTTGGTTTTTTTAAACGGGTTCGTAATATTTGAACCCGGGGCGTTTAAACACGGAAGAAAAAAAAGCAATGGAAGTGCCTATAAGCCTCGATTACTATCAGAACCGCTGTCGCCAAAACGCACCCAAACAAATGAAAAACACTATAATTGGTCGTAGTTTCTAATTTAAAAAGATGTAACAAATTATGGACTGTTAATATAATTTAAACTTTACCCAGTCGTTATATCGTTGAAAGTTCAATATCTTTGCTAACGCACTGTCATCTTGCGGCCAGTAGCTGGACTACGACGAACGACTAATAAAACAAACGAACGAATAAAACGTAGTATCTTTTCGATAACAAATGTCTTCTTTTGCTCACACGTTGCCTATGGAACTGTATTTCGATTAATTAAGTTTAAAATGAAAAAAACACTTATGAAGCATTTTTAACCTTTTGTTCGCTACTAGCGTGGAAAATTCGATCTTTACCTAGTACTCCAAAAGATCAAATTCGACCACATTGCATTGGGATAGTGTTTACTTTAGTTTGTTATAATAATAATAATAAAATTCATTTATTCAGACAACTAGATCCACATTTTGTTAGTATTTTACTTATGACTACGTTAGAATACATATTTTACACAAGACAAAGTATTATTAATTAAGTGTTGTATTATTGAGCACTCACATCTTATCGTCATCAGAAGGCTGTTAGTACTGCCATGTATTCTGGTCAAAAGCGAAGCCATCTTCTTTCGCAACACAGCATTAAAGCTACTTCGCGCTTCGGCAAACATGGTGGACGCGCTACAGAAACGTGGCAGCCCCAACAGCGCCCTGAGGGCATTGTTGTACTGGACGCACAGCCTACCGAACGAGCGCTGCGAACAGCTCGACCACAGCGCACCCGCGTACAGCGAAGTGCAGTATGCTAATATAAAATAATTATAGTACATTTTTGTACTCAATCAATTTTATAAACAGAAAATGGAAAATTTATTAAAATAAGACTTACCGATGATATGAAATACCAACACGGATAATATTTTTAGTGCGGCTGTCGTTTTTGCACTCCGAAACAGCACAATAAGGCATTTTTCTAGGACTTTAGTGAATTTGCGCTAACGAAAGACATAACAAAAAAAATGCCTGAATAAAAATGGCGGACTGACCTCACAACATGGACAACTGTCCATAATATGGTCTCGCGTGTGATGCTAACTAACCACTTCTACTAGTATTTATTGTTCTGTGCCTTTAAAAAAGTACAATATCGCCGTTCTATCTAGATTTATTTCTGTGAGCACGAGTTTCCATATCTACTATCATTTCTCGAAGCCTAACTGCAACAAACTCAATTAACAGCATCGTCGTGCGACAGGAAACTGGATACAATTATACGCCCGAGCACCTACTAACGATTTTACTGGCTAAATTTGAAAGTGAGACACAGACAGTGAGATGAATAATTTCCCCATAATAGGAAGGGAAATGGGGAGAATGATCTTGTTACGTGTTTAAAGTAGAAAATTTATCAAATGTTATTTTTATGGTTCTGTAGTCAATGGAATAACAATCAAAGTAATTACTGTTATTTTTATTATTATTGTAATAAAGCTCGATTAAACACAAAGAAAAATTCCTTCAATCCAGGTTCGAACCAGTACCGGCTGCCTACGTGGCCAGGTCCCAGGACCGGTTCCCGGGCCAGGAAAAATCATTGTATGGCCTACATATATTTCTCTCGTGAGTTTGGGTGTAATTTGTGGTTATCTATGTGTATCCATGGCACCCGCGACAAAGGGTTTCCCTAGTGTGGAGTTATGTTTAGTGTGTACATTATTATTATTATTATCAAATGTCCAGCTAGTTTTTTTTTAGATTGTATAGAGATTAGTAAGTAAATGACTCTTTGCCAGACCTTGGCTACCGCTCTCCAAACTGAGCTATAACGAATCAGCAGACCTAACGAGCTTCTCCCTATGCTTATTGCCGATTTTCGTTTTTGGATTTAGATGTTTAATTATTATTCTAACGTGCACGAAAGGAGCCTCCACGGATCAGTCCATTCCTGTACTTTTGGAGCATGCTAGGCAACAATCGGTGAGTAGGTACATTACGTCGATTAGCATATACTTTGACCATGATGGTGAACATTATAGTGTATGCCGTATGCCATTGATACGATAAGAAACAGAGATTACACAGACACGTGGCCGGGAGTTTTCAGTAAATCAAATTAAAGGCTGGTCCATATCGTTTATTGTAAAATAGGAATAGGTAAAGAACAAGAAAAGGAACAAAGGTAAAGTAAAGGCTGTAACAAAATAAATTAACGGTATAAATACATGTACAATCAAATAACAACACTCCCTACTTAAATACCTACATACCTACTTAAATAGGTTAGAAAGGGTAAAAAAAGGAACTTACTCTAAACGGGCCTATATTTCTACAAATATTATGCTTTAGAAGCAGTTAGGTTACATGATTTTCAATGATATATGCAGCTGGTCAGAATTTGATATGAAGTCGAGCACGTCTGGTCGCTTCGGAAATTTATTAGAGCGCCATTTGGCCAGGAACCAGAGAAAAGGATAATAAAAAGGTGGGTCATCACACGGACGGATTTAAATCGCGTATATTTATTTTTTCAAACAAACCGACGTTTCGGGCCCTTTACAGGTCCCATGGTCACAGTTGACTGAGGTGGTACGGTCTTCAACCAGTTATGTCTAATATTATTATTATTATTATTATAAAAACAAATATACGCGATTTATATCCGGAAAAACAGTTTCATTTCCTATGTGTAACAATCGCGAAAACCTAAGTTATTTATTTTGGTTACAATTTCATGTTATTTATTATTCGTTTTTTTTATAGATGCAACTGATTGCAATTTTTAATTTTAATTTTGCAATTTTAAGCGCATATGATTAGTCCGCAGTAAATTGTTTAATTTAATTTGATTAAAGTTGCGTTACAAATAAATAAACCCTTTTTAAGTATCGACATTTTTGCAACGTATTTTTTTAATTTTTTTTTAAGAAGTGTATGATATAAATTCTAATTGATTGAGGGCTTTTGTCCAGAAGTTCGACAAATAGGCTTATAAATTGTTCAAATGTCAATTCAGTAAGCAATCTATTTGTTTCGCACATTTTTTTGCGTTTTCAATAGGTGTCTTTGCTTTTGAAATAGTGATGTAAACTTACATGTAAGTAACTTTAGGTGGTAAATTCTAATGGCGATTAAAAATAAGTAAGTCAGTCAGAAACGGCTAAGTTCTACGATGCGATTAAAAATACGAAAATTTTTACACATATGAACGGCTACATTGTCGTCCATGTAAAATACACGGACTGACCTGCCGCGGTCCTGACCCGATCCGCGCTCGACCCGCACCCGCTCTCTGTGTATTTCACGCTTAAGATTTCCGTTGATTTAAAAAAATGGCCATTTATGAGGTTGAAAGACTATAGTGAAACGAGAACTTTACCATAAAGGTTAACACCACGGAAGAAAGAAAAGAATGGAAATGGCATCAAGCAACATTTGTATCAAAACCGGTGTCGCCACACGCACACATTTGAAAACGTAATCTTACATTAGTATTAAGATAACATAATTTTGATTGATTAAAAATGACCAAACGAAAATAGACAATAATAAAAAACTTTTGTTAAAAAAATTGAAACTTATTTGGATATAATAAGGTTTTATTATTACTAGTCACATAAAAGCTAAGAATCCTCTGAACATAAACTTCTTGGAACAAAAGCAAAAAGTAAACAATCTACAGATAGCGATGTGATATTTAATTGCTATCGACATTACGTGTCACAACTAGCGAGGAAACGGCATTTAATGCAATTTCTTCGAGAACTAGCGTGGCTGACTTTTACACGCACACATTTGTTACCAAATACGCATAAGGTTTTACTACATGCAAATATTAATTGATATTAGCTGCACAGGCGTGTGCGTATACGTAGCTACATGCTACAATCACAGTTTTAATGATTTATTATACAGCCATCGTACTTTCATTAACCTACTAGATTTGAAGTCAATCCGATCACTGGAAGGGTATATTAAAACAAAGTCATCATAAAAATCTTTA